GTGCCTTCCCCACAGAGTGCTAAACCTGGTGAAAAATGGGTAGCATCAATAAACACCAAACCTTGTACCAATAAATGTGTTCCCTTCATTACTCAAAGAGCCCAGAGCTATGGAGGTATAAAAGGCCCCATTCTCCCCTACAGGGGAGTAACACATGTAGGGTAGAGGAAACTCAATGAATTTCAGCGTGCAGTTTCCTGCTCGTTTCTCCAAGGGAGGGGGATGGGTAAGGACTTTGGGCTTGCTTTCTCCATGGGACTCAACAAAAAAAAGAGCTGCCTCCCTAATTTACAGATGCCGGGAAACCCAAAGAGTCAGGAACATCTTTTCTGGTTAACTGTCTTACAGACTCTGCTTTCGCACTTGTCCTTAGGTACCCCTCACAAGGGCATTATTTTAAAAAGTCCGGCAAATAAGTTGTGTGTTCTGATCCTGTCGTTTGCACGAGAGGGGTGGGAGCTGTGTGTCCGTGCAGCGCTCCAGGCACCCAGGCAGACCTTCACGCCGGCACAGTGTTTGGCCGTAAATTGCAGCCTTTGAGTTCTTGCAGCCCTAAGAGGCAGTGGGAGATCTGCTATCTTATTAGAATAAATTAAAATTGCATTGTTGACGTGAAATTATGCAGGATGGTTATAACGCTCCCTATATTATGTGTGCTTTATGTGCTTTTATGTGTTTACATATGTATATATAAAGATACAATACATGTAATTTCTCTGAAGTTTCTAAAGAAACCCATTTGTCTGATGCAGATAAGGTACAGTAGCGCTTGTTGATTAATATCACTACAGCAATAGCTACCTTCATCAGCCCAGGAACTGAACTCGGGGACTGCCCCACACACAACTCTGTGCCCGTGAAGGTGTCTGATGGGAGGCAGATGCTGGCCCTGTGATGGACATGGAGAAGACTTTGACGATCTGGTCCACGGTTTTCACTCCTGGCTGGGAGGGGGTTGGGTCTTTTCCACCTTCTCCTCCATCCTCTTGCACTCTGCAAAGCTGGATTCCAGTCAGACCAGGGTAAAATTGGGGTACGCTGCAGTGGCTGAGTTCCCAAATTGTAATTTTTTGCAGCAACATTTCTTCCCTTAGTTGGCTCAGATCTCAGTTTGTGCCTAAAGGACATCTTTTCTCAGACTTTGAATCAGATCCAGAGGTGGGTCTATACATTGTGTGTGCATGTTGTATGCTTTTAAGTACCCGCAAAGTTGTGACAACCTCAGTCTTTTTAGAAAATTATTCCCTTTGTCTTAAATGACTTTTTTTTTTCTTTTACCTGAGCTGTAACTTGAATAAGGATTCTGCCACGCAGCTTTATCCTTGGTCTGGAAAAACTGGTTGAATTTGCTTAGTTTGTTTTTGAATAAGCTTTCCGCTTTTTCACCTGGCTTTCTCAGACACAAATCCCAAGCAAAGTGTGTTGGCAGAAGTGTCCCTCACCGTGCCTGTGTGCAATCGCTCCGAAAAAGCCAAGCCGGAGCCTCCCCACACAGGACAGTTGTTGCAGACGCATTGCCCCTGTGTGGCAGATGAGAGAATAAACAACATGTGGGAGATGCTGAGCGCTGCTCCAGTGCTACGGCAATGAGCACAGGATAAGAGCCCCTGTAAAACAAAATAGACTTTTTGCCCTAATCTGTTTTAAAGTGCCGTAAAATTACATTTATTTCAGGCACATTTCCTTAGCCCTTGTTTTCATTATGTTGGTCTTGAGGATTTAAGTCTGTGTATCTGAGCACAGACCCCATGCAGTCCCCCGGATAATCAGAAAGATGCTTATCCTGAAAATTCACTTGAGCTGCTGAATTTCACGAATTGGCTTTTCCTTTTGCATACCAGGGCTTGCTTTCCCTGTACAGCAGCGGCAGCCTACGGGTCCTAGCTATAGCTCATGTTTGCCCCCAAAATACGCTGGGGGCTGCTCTGCAGACCCCCATGCTGCCTGTGCCCTGAGCCCCCAGCCCAGGCCAGGAGGCTGCTCGCTCCAGGACATGCCGTGATGGCTGTTTTAACTGGGCAGGAGATACCCTCTCCAGTAAACACTTCAGCACAAGCGTGCTTCCTTCAGGAAAAGTCCTTTTGTTGCTAAATATCTGACAAAGTTTTAAGAACTTATTATTTTGGGCTCTTAACCCATTCTAGTAGTGAAAGCACGAGTGGGGTAGCAGGGATATTTATTTGTTATTTGCCCATTGCTGTAGACAGCTGTAACAGTTACAATAACTTTGATCTTTTGTTTTCCCCACTTGGAGAAGTCCTTATTACCAAAACATCACCTCTGACCTTCTTTTATATTTTCAGCGTGCGTTTTATTAACTCCTTTTTTTTTTTTTTTTTCATATGGGACATGTGGTGTCTGCCACTTGGTACAAAGGAGACAAAGTTTGCAAAGTTTCTGATGCAGAGAGCAGCAGTGAGGAAGCTGGCTCCTTGCCAACAGTTTGTGCCAAAAAAAAAAAAAATGTATTATGGAGAGGGGTGAATTAAATCTGTGCATATAGTGTCAGACTTTCTTTGGGCTCACTGCTGGGACAAGCCTCTGGCGCTTAATGGGATTCAGCTAGGGAAAGTGGAGCGCATCCTTATCCCACCCCGTGCACGCACTTTACGCAGAGATGATTAATTTCAATCAGTTGCCCGAGGAATTTATTTTCACAGCACCTCTTTACTTCTCAGGCTAAGAAACAAGGCATCCGGCCCTTCCTTGCCAGTAACACTGGAGGTTTTGCGCTTATTATACATTTGGTGAAACAGTATGCGACGGTGAAAATTTACTAGATGTTGCAGAAAGAAACAAGGGAAAGTTAAAGCACAGCCTAGAAAAATAAAATGAGTACTGTTTGCGTGTACTTTTATTGATTTCTGACAGCCATGTTATTTTCAGGGACAACAGAAGGGAAAAGAATTTCAGTCTTTGAATGGATGAGTGATATAGTACCCCCCCTTTTTAACTAGTCTTATATATATATTTTTTTTTTGTCCTGGTGTGTGCATGTGCAGAAGGGTGTCTACCTAATTGGCCTCAAGAGGGGATTAAACTAAATAAAATCATGGTCCACAGGGGGCCTCTAAATATGGCTTTTTAATTTGAAAATTTTTGTGGGTTCCAGTGTAATTCAAGCTTTTCAAGCTTTATTAGTGCACAGTCGTTTGTGCAGCTTGCAAAGCTCCCATCTCGGCGAGTTTGATATGCCTGCCCCCCTGCTCAAGCAGAAGACAGAGCGCTCTCTTCAGCTGCGAAACACACTCTGTGACATAACAAAAGCCCTACTGTAAATAAAACACATGTTAATAACAGTGGCGGGAGGCGGCAGAAACCGGCAACGCGCATCCAGGCAGCGACGCTGCTTGAAAGTGGTACTAAAGGGAGGTAATGACAGTCAGCAAGCATCTCTCTGCTCTGCCTGCGACAGAGGCGCTGGGAGCAGATAGGAGTAAATACCAGGAATTTTGCATGTTCGCTTGTAATAAAAGTCAAAATATGCAGCTTGGTGTAACTAATTGCTGTGGAAGGAGAATGAACCAATAGTGCTCGTTGCTGTGAAACTGTTAATGGAGAACTTATGGAGAGAAAGTCCAAGTTCTCTCGTCCAAATTGGAATGTGAAAGAAATCTGTTGGAAGGTGATGACAGAAATGAAGTAAAACAGTTGTTTCCTGATCCATGTGCCAGATGTGTCACATACTGTGATAAATAAGATCTGCATCTTACACTCCAGAAATTGGGGAATATTACAAGCGTTTATTATAGTGAGGTACAAAAAAATGTACTTGAAATGCTTTGTTTCTCCTGGCACCAAGCAGTGAGAAGTTATTGCACAATGCCTGGAGCTGCTAATTCTTTTGTTTAGGTTCAATCCAACACAGCCTATTAAAAGCTTAAATTCAATTTTATTGTTAAGGTATTTATTAACTGATTATGAAAAGACATTAAAGGGCTCATAATTAAACTACTAAATTGTTCTTTACCTTGACGAATCCCCCCATTTTCCGAGACTGACTTCCACAGTATAAAATATCAGGGTTTTAATTTAGAGAAGAATGCTGCTCCCAGGCAAACCCCAGCTTTTGCTTCAGCTCGTGAGTCACTCCCAGGCTGCCTTGCTGCTGTTCGTAAGCCCAGAATATTGTGGCAGAAAGCCTAATGCATTGGTGGCATTTCTTGGGAAGGCTGCTCTGCAGGTTTGTGGCATGTTGTCACACATTTGCAGAAATAGCTGCGTGTTGATGTTGGATAACCCTGCCTTATTACTCAGGAAAAAAAGTCTCGTTGACTTTTGGCCCGTATGCTTTTGAAAATGTGTATTGTGAACAGCCTGCGAGCCCTGCCGAGGCTGAAGGCACATGCTTTCAGGCGAAGTGGATTCCCAGAGTAACGTGCAGTTCCCGAAGATTTGCTATCGAAATACTCCCCCAAACCCCAAGCCTGTGAAGACAGTGGGAGTTGAGTGACAGAATCTCCCACCCCAGGTCACCGTAGGACCTCAAAGAGACTGCCAATCCTCCAAGTCGGTGATTTTATACAGGCAGTGGCATCGTGTCTTCATCCAGATGACTGATGTTTGGGTGGGGTGGGATGGGTGCAGGAGGTAGCCAAGGGGGATTGAGTCTTTTTGTGTTTCCCCTTTGGAAATTGCTCTGTTCATCAGAAGGGTCAAGTTCCTGGCACGCTCACCAAGGTTAATGAGGAGACTGGGTTGTCTACCCAGAGGTCTTAAGGCTCTCAGCTGGCTCTGTCTGTCTGTGTCCTCACAGAGCTCACATGCAGGGCTGTAATACTCAGTGGCCTTCCATGCCAACCTCCTTGGGAGGTTTTTACTGTCAGAACAGGCAGAAAGCACACATCTGACTACCACAAGTAGAGATGAAAGCTTGAAACCCCTGATAAGCGTGATTTGGGTGGACCTCTGCAGTCCCAGGAACCTGATGGTGAACAGCAATTCCCTGAATACCTACTCTGCCTTTAACCAAGAAAACCAATCTCATGGTTGCTACGCCCATGATGATGCAGGGAAGAGGTAGGTCCTTTTACTGTGGTGCAGTGCCCAGCAGTTCAAGAAGCCTTCCCGTAAATATTAGCCCGGCTGGGACATTAGGCCACTGTTGTGTTCACTCTGCATGCTTGCTCAGAGCTGGGGTGGGTGTCCTGTGTGGCACTGCACTGTGCTGTGGGGACATTCTGGTTGGGATCCATCTCACCTAACATAGGCTGAGGTGAACTGCACCCTCCAAGTGCCTCTGTCTCTCCTTTGACAATGACAGGAGCCTAATATCTCACTTCGTGTAGATGAAGCCCACCCTGGTTACCACCCATATTTTCCAGCGTTACTTCAGAGAGATTGGCTTGAGACGCATTTCAAAACCTGAGATTTACAAAAATGTTGCTTCAGGGAGGTGCCAATATCCTGTCTTGGTGTGTGAGATCTGTAGGTGAGTCCCAGCTGGGAATGTTTCCTAAATCATGTTCCCTCCTGCTGCCCATTTTCCCAATACAGGTGCCCTCAGGGTAGTTTTTAACCTTTGCTGTGTAAGTTAGTCTGTCCCACCCTGAAGATGTAATATCATCTACTGTCTTAATCAGTATCCCACCAGCCTTTACTCAGATCTCAGAGGAAAAGACCCTATATCAGTTTTAAAATTCTTGGAAACAACTTTGTTCTTAGGCTACATCTTCATTGCTGGAAGACAGTTTGCTTACCCCATGGTAGATATCTCACTCTAAAAACCCAATTCAGAGCAGCACGAGGAGCTTTTACTTTGAGATAGGTCTTTCACTCCTCCTGGGATTTACCTCCATTAGTCATATGGAAGTAAAAGCTCTCTTGCCCTCCCCTTCATTGATATTTCCCAGTGAGATACTGAATTTAGCAATCCCACTGGAAAAACCACCCTTTTTTTTTGGCAGAGAAGCTGCAGCTGTAAGTGTTTATGGGAAATAAAGATATCTGATTAGGTTTGGTTTTTTTTTTTTTTTACACACTAGGCTGCATACCCTCTGGTAACCTTGTTATTTGTTACAGTGTTGGAGGCGGTGGAAGAATGGAAAGACTGCAGTTTCTCAGCGGCGCAGCTAGAGCTGACCCACCTTCCAAAATACAGAGGTGCTGTTGCCGTTCAAAGATATTTTATTGAAGAAAGTGATACTGCTTTCGACAAAGCCAGGCACGGCCTTACAGTAAGGGCTGGTTAGGAGCCTCAGCAAAATGTTATTGTCATCCGGAGCCATGTTTACCCTTAAGGGACACATTAGAAAAAACAATGGACAATAGGCCATACTGACAGCTTATGGGAGGAAATAAATGAAAGAAATAAAGCTTACTATGCTTTTGTGAAGCTGACATGGAAACAGCTGACAAAGGTCAGTACGTTATTGCTTTGCAAATGGTGAAAATATTGATTGTCCTGGCTTGTCACAGACAGTGAAAACGCCTATTGTGCGTGGTAAGTATATGAAAAAAAAAAAGGGGGTGATACTTACTGCAGTGAATAGCCAGTGATGAATGCGGTGAATAATGTGTGATGCACATCGCCTAAGCCAGTGAGTGGAACCCCCTGAGGCAGAGAATATTTTTATGTTGCCTCTTTATACAGTGTGGGATTAGTTTCTCCTAAATGGAGGCTCCAGAACCTAAGACCTAAAGAAGAGCCCAGTCTAACCACTTTCCTAACCTCACAGGTGGCTAAATTCATTAGGTGCTTTCCTCCTTAGGCTGAAGGATCCTGAAGCAATGAACATTAGTGGCCAGAAGTAGCTGTTCTGGGAAGGGGATGCCCATCTGCCTCCACACACCCTCCCAGAAGTCTGCTGTGACCCAGAGGTGGTTGGAGAGGAGCTTCAACTCCACACAGGGTCTTCGCAAAGCCCGAGCATGGAGATGCGGTGGGGATGAGGAGAACAGCCTGAGGACCCCATCTGCTCCCTGGGACAGGGACCAAAACCTTAAACTAGAACTCACTTAAGTCAGGCGTCCAAAGGACTGGGTGGACTGGATCCCTCCCAGTGTTACCAGTGATGCTGGGATTCCGGTGAGGTGCACCGAGAGTCTGTGCAACAGGGGTCATGGGCAACAACTTGGGATTATTTACACCAGCGTAGTTCTCAAAGTTTACACTGTGGGTTTCTTGGTCTAGCACAGCTAAGCATTGCCAAAAAAAGTACATTCCTAACTCTGGTTAGATAATCCAAGTGTTCTATTTCAATCTGAATTTGCTGTGAAAACAAGATGACTTGGGTTTTAGGCAGTGGCTGTATCTCAACTCCAGGTTTATACAGGAGCCTGTGGCAGCTCGCTCAGGTTGCTGTGTCTTTTGGGCTGTTTTATAAGTCAGATAAATTGGAGCAGCAAACTTTTGGAGTCCAGAAAGCTCTTTAGATCTGCCCAGAAACCTGTCCTTCACACAGAGCTGCATGTGGCTCAGTGGCCGTAGAGTCAGGCCAGTGCCTACGGCTGTGAGAGGTGCCCCGTGTGGCATGGGGGTGGACGTGGGACCCCTGCCAGCCCAAGGAGCACCTGGGGCAGCTTTCCATTTAACCCCTGCTGAGGATTGTCAATTCATGTTTCACATTTTATACTGCTCTCTGCTCTTTGCATTTAGAAAATAAAATCTTGTCCTGTCTTTGCAAATACGGCATCCAAATACGGTTCGGGTGAGAGGAGGGCAGCACGTGGTGCATGAAAAGCACCGTGTCTCCAGTGCAAACCTGGCCCTGCCATCAGCCCGACTGGAGAAATGTGCACTGGCAGTTCCCGTCTGTAGGTGTTACTGATGGACAGAGAGCGATGGAGGCAGAAAAATGTCAAAGTGTTAGAAAAGTCAATATTATTAAGACCTTGCTCCCCTCGCTTCCCTATTCCGAGTAGTTTCTTGAGTATGACCAATTACATTCTTTTTTTATGACCAGTCACAAATGCAGTTTTTATTAGCTGGTTTGCTCAATGATTCAAATGTATAGACTTTATTTCAGTCTCATTTGAGTTGGAGGAAAGCATACAAGGATTTTTGCTGGCTTAAATTAGTGGAACTGCCCCTTTGGCTGAATGACAGGGCCCTCGCCTTGCAGAGCAGAGCTCCAGCCCCGTCTCTGACTTTTGCCTGTAAATTAGTTTGTGAAGTGGTGTTTATTGCTACATTGGGAGGTTAAGACAGCCTAATTGTATGTTTGTACAGGAGAAAACATCACGCCAGAGCCTTAAGCAATTATTCTTTCCATGTCCTTTCACTATTTAATCTTGACACTGTTCAGAGGGGAAAGGAGACAATTTGTCTTCACCCTACAGCCAATTAGCAGTAAAAGTGCAGAATGGCTAATGCAATATCCACTGAAGTGCCATCGTCCATTCATCAATATGAGATCCTGAAATAGGATGCATCTAGAACCCCTCGTTGGGGATTGTTCTGAGCCCATGCCTGATCTCAGCCAAGGATATCTCCGTGATTTATAGCCCAGCGCGTGGTTCCAACGTGTGACAGTGCTCAGCACCTCTCCTCCCACTTTTCCTCTCCAGTGGCCATCTTGTCTTTACAGAAGACTTATTCTCCAGAGTATCAGTCTTTTCAACAGGCCATTACTCACTGAAATGTTTTGTCTTTCTAAACAGCTAAGGTGAATCACAGGGAATTGCCTTTCTTTCCCAAGGAGGACATGCCAAATATAAGCCAGACAAGCAGCATCTTCTCCGAGTTGGCTAAAAGGTACGGCACAGCAAAGGTAGTCCTGACAGCCACTGTGTTAGAAAGAAGAAATCTTTCTTTTGGACCGTATCTCATCTATGGAAGTGGTAAATCTCTTAAAACCATCCAGGTCTTGTGCCCCGCATTTACATGCCATAAACCTACAGAGCCGCAGTCAGACCCAGGGTAAATGACTGACAACGGTGGAGCTTTAGTCTTGGTATTTGTTCTGGATGTCCAGGATTTAGTTTCCTTGAAAGCATCTGCAGGGAGGTTCTCTCAATGTTTTTCTTGTCCACAAAATATTTCTCTTAAAAGCGCTATATAAACCCCAGGAGGATCTGTCTTCCTTGGGGCCAGTGCAACAGGGCCCCGGCTATTTTTTACTGAATGCTTAAATATATGCAGTAAGAACAAGCCTATGCTAAATTTTGCTTTGAACTGGCAGGGCAGAAGTTTTTTGGGCTCCTCCCCAAGAGTGATCTAGTCCTATATGTTTTAAGAGGTTAAATTCAGCCCCTGAGTGTTGGTACAGGCAATTGCATTGCATCAGGAATGGGCATGACCCCTAATTTTTATAAGAAATTATACAACAGGAGACGTACCCAGAAAAGATCATTAAATCCTTGCTGTGCTTCTTCATCATCCCAACCCATTTTGATGGAGTAAAAGAAGCTTTCCCTCAAAGATGCTGAGTTTTGATACAGGAAAACTAGACATTTTCAAAGAGGCTTTATTTGCTGGATGAAATAAAAGGGAGGCGCCAAGAACATTTAATCAAATGCTCATTACTGAGAGGATCCAAGAAAAAAACACTGGCTGCTCTGTTCCCTTCCAAGCCAACAGACCATTCTGAAGGCTTCAGCATCTATCTAGCTATATACATACACAAGATGTTCTTACACTTCCAACAAAGGATAAGGTGGAGGAGGACTAGTGGTTAGCAAGACAGGAACAGGACAACATGTGAGACCCGTCTGGGAAACCTGTTAGACTATTCCAAAGCTTCAATTTTGACCTTTCTTCAGGAAAAAAAAAGAAAAGCGCTTTATGTAAAACCCCTCAGATCTTTAGCTTCTCAGAGAAATTGTCTTTTGCCAAATAACACAGTCACTTACTTACATTCTGTACATCTCTGCCAGCGGGTATGTCCCAGGACTCATGTGCTAGTAAAATGGGGAGTGCAAATCTGGATAGGGTGCTCACGCCAAGCTTAGGGATGTGAGAGGACGAGAGAGGCTTTAAAAGCTTCACTGCCTTAAAACGCACCTAGGAAGGCGGTTGCGGGTGCTGCATTGTATGTAGAAGCTCTGCTTCCCAGGGACAGGAGGAATGACGTCACAATGACATCATGCCTGTCCTGAGCTTCCCTAATGTTAATCACAGCAGCATCTGCCGCAGGGAAGCGTTTCTGGGGGAAAGGTGTCAAAAACATGACACTTTCCAACCGTAGCCGGAGTGGGGAGTTTGAAGCAGCGGAGCGCTGACGCCGTGTCCCCCGGGGCCTGAACCACTTCTCTTCTAGGTGTCTGACTGTCAAATGTGCTGCGGCGCGTGTTTTTCCTCTCTTTTGTTTACTTTATTGAGGACGGCACCGGTTACAGCTTTTTAAAAAATATTTGAGCAGGTTATTATGGGAAAGGACAGAACAAGTTCTTGCTGCACAAACGCAAAACTCAGATGGTTTCCTTTGCAAGGGTGAAGACCATTAGTGGTTTTTCTTCTTGGGCTGTTTTGGGGGAGGGGAGGCATCTTTGGGGTGAGAGAGTGAGCAGAACGGGCAGTTGGGGATTTTGGAGCGCTGACTGCAGCTCTGGCACCGATTCCCGCTGAAACTTAGCTAAAAATTTCAAATTGGAGTCTCTGAAAGGTCGATAATAATAAGTAATAGGGCTGGCCAGAAAACAAGAATTCTGTTTTGTGAAAAATGTTGCGGTTTCAAAATTTGTTTTCATTCCAGTGCAGAAAGAATATGAGATCTTTCTTCCTTTTTTTCTTTTTCAAGGGAGAGGGGAGAAAATAAAAAAATAGACAGATTAACAGAAGCCTTAATAGTCTAGTAGGTTAGGGCAATGGTTCAGATGAGGAACTTGACCTGACATCTCCCTGTCCAAGGTGAGATGGGGGGATCTTGGCTATCCGAAGTTGATTTTCCTACACAGTAATTCTATCCCAGACATTAAAAATTTTATAGACAACTTTTTCATTGAAACACTTGTGTTTCTTTAAAAAGTTTTAATACCATGACGGTTTTTCGTTGTTTTTTTTTTAGAACAGGAGTCAGGACATTTCTTGGTAATTTCTAATAACTACATGTATATATATTTTTATTACTTATAGCAACTGCCGGGTGCAGAGACAGTCCTTCATCTCATAGACACTATCCAACTGTTTGCGGAAACTGGGGGAGATACAGAATGGCAATATGTGTCAATATTTGGCTGTTTCCATAGAAGGTTGTTTAAAATTCTGATTGTGTGTTTTGTTCTGCAACTTTTCACT